GAAAATGATAATGAAATTAAGATGTTACAACATGCAGACGATTCTACAAATCCTCTTAGAGATATAGAATCTGTAAAACATGTAATTAAAGTGGTACAATATTTTTTGAAAGTAGCAGGACCAAATCTTAATATTAATAAATCAGATTGTTTTTTACTAGGACCTCTGAGAAATTCGTGCTATAGTATAGAAGGGATAAAAGTGACCAACGACCAGTCAAAACATTAGGGATATTTGTGGGACACAACAAAAAATTATGTTTAGCAAAAAATTGGCAAGATAAAATAGATAAAATCGCACAGATATTAGAATCATGGGAAAAGAGAAAATTAATAATTTTTGGAAAAAAAGAAATAATTAGCACATTGTGTATTTCAAAATTGCAATATAATGCAACCGTTCTTCCCAATCCACCCGGAGAAATTTTTAAACAAATAAATAAATTAATCTTTAACTTTGTATGGAACAGTAAAGACCGTATAAAAAGAAACAGACTTATTGGGGATGAAAAACAAGGAGGTATTAATATCATAGATATTGAATCTAAACTCAAGGCATCGAAGGCATCTTGGATTCCAAGGTTACTAAATACAAATTCTAGTCTTGTATCATTCTTAAACTACCAATTTAATAGAGAAACATTGTCATTAAAATACATTTCAAAGACTAATCTAATAAATGTTGATGACTACAAAGAACTAAAAAACATTCCCATCTTTTATAAAGAATCAATTTGTGCATTCAATGCATGTAAAATTAGATTTTCCAAAGCTATCCACAGATGAATTTCTATCTTTACTAATATGGAAAAACAAACTTTTTACACATAAAAACACATCAATTTATTTTTTAAATTGGATTAAATCAGGAATGTTGTACATAAAAGACCTGTATGACGCAGATGGTATTTCTATAATAAACTTTTATACAAGAATAATATCTTGAGTGAATACCTCATTATGTATTTTTAATACATTTTCCAAAACATATGTGTGTGAAAGGGCACAGTATTTAAGGAATGACTCTAATTCTTGGCCAGATTATCGAGTATAATATGGTTTGGGTCAGTTTACGCTTTATAATCCGCGAAGCGGATTATAAAAAAGCGTAAACTGACCCAAACCATATTATACTCGATAATCTGGCCAAGAATTAGAGTCATTCCTTATAATTTAATTTTAAAATAATTAAACAACTGGGGATGTAAAATTGTGTTGTTTTTATTAGTTCAAATTTACCGCGCAATAATACAACCGTAGTAACGGAAGTGATGGGAAGCAAGGGGAGGTAAAAACTGATACATAAATCTAGCAGCCATGATGCTTGTTTACATGAGGTAAGATCGAGCAACTGTTTGAAGTTAAAGGTACATTCATTAAATCTGGAATTTTTCATGAATCCGAAGGACTGGAAATGAGGGGATTTATGGATACAGATGATTCAGCTGGTTGTCAAGGGGGGTGTGTCCCCATACCAAACCAGATTATACAAAATGTTATGCGTTCCTTTTTGGAAATCAACCAATGAGAGACAAGAATACAAACAGAATTAAATTATATTAATATAACACACAGTACTACTGTGCTATTTAAAGGAAACAGGTACATATACACAAATAAATAAATTAAATCGTCTGGGTTTTTTTTATAAAATATTCATCGCAAAAAAATTTTGAGACAATAACGGAAAATTACATTCCATTTATAATGTGAAAATCTGGAAAATGTCTGATAAGCATATAGCAGAATTTAGTTACAAATTACTTCATAAATTCTTAAACAATAACCTGAGTGTGAGCAAGTGGAATCGACATATACAAAAGCTTTGAGCTTACTGTGGAGATATTGAAAATATAATACTCTTCTGTTTAAATGTGATGACTCCAATTTTATATGGCACAAAATAAGTACAATTTTAGGTTTCAAAATAAGTTGGAAGCATATTGTAATAGGTTTTTATGAAAACACAGATTTTACCAATGGCATGAATACGTTGATATCTTTCATTGCCTTAAAAATTTTTAAATATAAGATGAAGTGTAGCACTTGTAACAAAGATTACTTGTTTAATTTTGTTAAATCATATCTAAATACATATCAATATATTGCAGAATTTTCATATGACAATGTACAGATTCACAAATTGCTGAAAAAAGTTTGTATTAATTTGAAAATGTAAATATATGTTACCAGCAGGTCCACAAATCCAGTTGTGGAGTCTGTGTGTTAGCATGAGGGCATTATGGACTCTTAAAGTGTGGAAGGTGGCCTATCATGCTAACATAGGAATATATTGTATTCTTTATAATTCCATTATACGTGTATTTATCACATTTGTCATAGCTTCTCCTATTTATTATTATCATTATTATTAGTATAAATATCATTTTTATTATTGTCTCAAATTGATTATAGCTTTTCTTTTTTCTTTATTCTATGTAAAAATAATCATCAAATGTCAATGTGTAATGTAGTTTATCTTTGTGTTATTTATATTATTGTTTGTTATCAATAAAGAGAAAAAAAAGAAACAATATGTGTTAGTGAAACACTATGCGCCCGGTGGCAACAAAGTTCCAAAAAACTATTTTAGGATATAGGTTACAGTCAAGGTCACAAGGTCATTGACCTTGATGTCATTTGAAAGAACTTTTTAGTGGAGTATGCATACCTATTATGAAGTCTCTATCTTTCATGGTTCAAAAGATATGGTGAAGGTTAAAGTTGACAACAGACAGACAGATAAACAGACAAACAGACAGGACAAAAACAATATACGCCTCGGATTTTTTTTTTATGGTCCGGGCGCATAAAAAAAAAAAGAAATTGTGAAAATTTGGTGGCATGTTTTAAAAACCTTCTCCCCAAGAACCACTGTGTCGGGAAAGATATATTAATTAATGCATCGTCAGGAAGTGAAGATCCAAGTTTGTACAAATCATGACCCACGGGGGTAGGATGGGGCCACAATGGACGATCAAAGTTTTACGTAGAAATATATACGAAAAATCTTAAGAATCTTCTTAAAAACAACAAAGCCATGATTTGTCGTATTTATATGGAAGCATTCTCAAGTAGTGTAGATTCAAGTTTGTTTAAATCATGACCCCTGGGGTAGGCTGGGGCCACAATTGAAAATCAAATTTTACATAGGAATGTAGAGGAAAAAAACTTTTAAAATCTTCTAATGAAGAACAAACGCACGATTGGTGAAATTTATAAAGAAGCATCCTCAGGTAACTGTATTTTCAAGTTTGTTCAAATTATGACCCCCGGGTGTAGGGTGGGGCCAAAATGAAAGTTTAAACTTATAGGGAAAAAAGCCACAGTAAGTCAAAAAATATGTAAGCATTCTTAGTAGATTAAAGTTAATTCAAATCATACCCCCTTTTGACTTTACTTCCGGTTGGGGTTATATATGCACGTTAAAACCAGAGACTTCCGAGTATTCATTCCGAGGTCTCTGGTTTTAGTGTACATCTATAACCCAACCGGAAGTAAATGTATCTTATTAGATGTCTTAATTTTTACCGAGGTAATTTTTTAGGAATAAAAAATTTGTGATTTACGATAAAGAGGTTCGAGCAGAGACTTCTGAAATGATTTAATTGACAAGAATAGGGTCTTTCGAAGTGAACGATGTCATTTTAAAGTAGGTTAATGATTAATATATTAACAAAATACGAACTTGAAGCGGAGGTGCCTGAAATTGAGTTAGGTACCATGTTTTAAATATAAGTAGGGGGTACCCCGTATACGAAACAAGTGCCTGTGCCAAAAACACATTGATTTATCAAATACATGTATTGTGTATTTTTTTGACACAAAAGGGGGGCCCGGGCCCCCTGCCCCCTCTAAATCCGCCAGTGTTATGTATAATAAATTTGCTATTTTTTAAGGGCATTCTAAGGTACATGTATTTCTCGAGGAGACTATAAAGCTGATTTGGTGCAATTGATTACAGATCAGTAGCTATAGGTCCCTCTCTCCTCTAAATGCTTCAACCTAAAAAAAGATACATGTACATGTAAAATATCGCATTATGTAATACATTTTTTAATTAAGCGATAGTAATACGTCCGTCGTCCCTCCGTCTGTCTGTAAAAATTTTTTTGAAATACTACTCCTCCTACAGTTTTGGTCTGATTTCAATAGAAATTGGCACACAAGTAGACTACACTAAGATACATAATTCTGTGTATTGGATTTTGATTTCAATGAACGTTGTTGCCGTGGTTACTACAAAAAAAATTTCTGTGAAATACTTTAAAAATGCAATTATAAATACAGTTTTAGTCTGATTATAGTATAATGTGGCATGCAAATAGTGTACACTGAGATACATGATCACTATTCTATTTATTGCTGTTGTGAAGTTAAGTCTTAACTGCCACGTTTCTCTTCCTTTGTTTAAAGTACAACCCAGTAGAGTTACAGTCTCGAGAGAGACTTCTGGTTCATATTTTAAAACAATTAGTCCTTCTCTTTTAGATGTAGAATCTATACACATTTTTGTTTCGCTATTTTATATAGTTTGCAGTACATGTATACATGTATATCCTACACGCGTATATTACCTTGAAACACTTTACACTCCCAGTTTGTGTTTTTCTTGGTGCCGGGCATTTGGCGAGCTTCAAATAACATGTTCACTTCTTCTGTTCTTTCTTTGAATCTTTTACACGCTTTGGGCATGTTAAGGGGGGGGGGGGGGGGGTCGGGTGTCTCAAGTTTAGGGAGATCAGACAAAGCAGGAAGGCTTTTCAGTGATATATTCTATTTCTATATATTCTATTTTACTGCTACATAACATATCTAAATGTTAAAAATCGAATTCATCAAACTCTATTTCTAAACCAAATTCAAAGTGACCAAATTAACTGATTCTGGCCGTGAGAACTTGCCATTGTATGGAAATATACATCACATTTGCAGACGATTGTGTTAAAATTTATGTTAGAAAAAATTAAATGAAAGAAGAAAAAGATAACAAAATGAGTATTTATTTTTCATATTTTTTTAATATTGCGACTGACATGTCAATAAGCACTGTCAAAATACGTTTGAATGTTTACATTTAGAAGTACTTTTAAAAAGTAGTCCAAAGAATGTCTCCCATATTCATACGCCGGCAGATTACTTTAAGAAAAGCCCAAATATCAGGTGGCTTAGGAATTGACATGTTTACGGAGAAATGAAGAGCAGTTTTTTCATAAGAAATAAAGGAACAAATTTTTAGTGAATGTAAATATATATTCCTGAAGGATGTTATAATACGTTACATGTTCCGAAAAAACAACTTGGTTGCTTTGATTTGTCGAATGCGTTCACTTCATTGTTTTCATCTCTGTTTTTGTGTCCTTATTTTGGCATTTCTTGAACAAAATCACACTGAGAATGAAACAGGAAATAGAACACAAACAGGAGGCACCCTGAAACAAATGTACAAATTACTCTTTTTTATAAATTTGGTGGTAAAATAGAGTATATTAAGATATCATGGAAGTAGTTCTAAAATATCAATTATTGTATTACTAGTTTGCGTAAAGAATTATATGTAGTATCATACAAACGCATAGGTCTATGTATAACATAGTATTTACTGGTAGTTTTAGTATTTTGACAATAAATAAGAGGAAGTTGAGACAGTACTTAGAATTAGTTGTCTCATGGACTGTGATTCAATTAAGTTACTTTCAACGAGCTTTTTTTTTTAACCTCAATCTTCAGAAGAAAAAGGTTCAAAAATGCAAACTGAGCAAATTAATAACAAGTATTATATACTGACAAAACGTCAGAGATACTCAAGCTGTAGAATGTCAACTAGGAAGTGTCATTAATATCCTATAATGGTGTAAGATGAGGGCTATTGAGTTCAATCTTCTGTTGAATAAAATGCATGTAATGAAACAAAATTAAATTAGAATAAATATAATTAATCGTACTACTTTTTAAAATGAATTTACGTTCCACACTTTCAGGAATATTTAATAGAGCATTGTTGCCGTTTCTCAATTTAATGAATTTTTTTATGTAGACATTTTTAAAATATACTTCAAACTTTATACAGTTTAGTATTTTTTGCTTAATGACGTGCGTCACAACATTTAATACCGGGTACACATCAATCCAAATAGCTTGTTAATAACCCATGTGACTACGGGTTCATATAGCTGTGCGGCATATCCAATACATATTCCATACGAAATCAATAGAAGTTATGTAGGTTCCGTTACCAAAGCTGAAGATAATACTATTTTTTAAAATTAAAAAAAACGTAAGGGAGAATTTAACATTAGTTTTGTGCTTTTATTTTACTGTCACTCAAAGTATACACCATTTGCAGGCCTGTGAGAAGCAATATCAGTTTGGGGGCACAGCCACACATTTTCTGGCCATGCATTGTAGAAATTGTTAACGATAGGGTAACCTGTGTCACCTTTCAGAGTAACCAGTGGACTCGTTCATGGATGCTTTGTCGGTGACTGTAAAAGTTACCTGAGATTCCTACGCGATGGAAAGCGCGAAATCTCTGTATAGAAACTGTTGCCGCTGCGGAGCTTCACTCATTGTTCATTTGCCATAGAATAGAATCCGACATTTAACACTTAATATCTTTCAATATAGAGACGTTTTCAAGATAAACTTCATTTTTGCTTCTAGAATTATTTTTATCTACAAAAATAATGGTTGCGTTCACAGTTCTACCAATGGTAAAAATCAATGGTTGCTATTGGTACCATTTTTTGACAATGGTGCTATTGGTAGCCTTAGAACTGTGAACAGAATTTTGTTAGCCATTGGTTAGGAAATTGACATTGGTAACCAATGGTGACCAGTGGATGCCAATGGCAACCATTAGTATCAATGGTTGATATTGGTACCATTTTTTGACATTGGTGCTACTGGCAGCCATAGAACTGTGAACAGAATTTTGTTAGCCATTGGTCAGGAAATCAACATTAGTTACCAATGGTTACCAGTGGCTGCCAATGGCAACCATTAGATACTTGTGTAAACCAGCATGGCTACAAATCAGTTGATTCTTTCTTTGCTTATGCAAAAGCATAATAATACACAGACATTTTTAATGTATAACCAAATGTCCGGAAATGATTTCCTTTATGCAAGATCTATTAAGCGTCAGTATGTACCACGGGTTCATCGATTTTTTGAAATGACTGTCCCATTGTATTCTATGGATGACTTTAAGTCGCATTTTCGCTTGTCCAGAGGAACATATCAAACAACATCTTTGCGGTTAGGAGTCCTATCTGAATACAATCCAACTACTGGACCAACCCCTGATGTGGAAAAAGACCTACTTATGTTTTTGTGGTTTATAGGCAAGTTAATGAATTTAATTTTAAAAATCTTGGATTGTATGTTTCAGAGTAATTAAATATTGACATGAGATACTTAAATGAATACATAATTATTCAATTTATTGTAGGTAACCTCGAGAGCATGCGATCAATGTCAGATAGATTTGACGTTTCTAAAAGCAGTTTTCATAAAAGCATCAAACGAACTGGATCTGCTCTGTGTAAAATTATGCCCGACATAATAAAATGGCCAAGCAATGCAATCCAAGTTAATAAAACATGCAGGTTATTTGCTGAGCGCTCACAGTTTCAAAACATACTGGGAGCAATTGATGGGAGTCACATCCATATAACTGCTCCTAAACATCTTCACCAGGCATATTTCAACCGAAAAGGGTTTTATTCTATTGTTCTCTTGGCATCCTGTGATGCCACTCTAGCATTTAATTATGTCTGGACAGGTAATCCAGGGAGCACACATGATTCTACCGTGCTGCGACAATCTGATTTGTTTGCCCAAAGTAATGAGAGAATACCACCTGGATTTTGCCTTTTAGGTGATTCAGGTTTTCCTTTATTAGGATGGCTGGTGACTCCTTTTAGAGACCATGGAAATTTGACTAGACAGCAAAAGCTATTCAACAAAACGCACAGCAGATGTCGAGAAGTTATTGAAAGGGCTTTTGGTATGCTGAAAAACAGATTCCGGAGGCTTTACAGGTTTGAGATGTTAGATTTGACACTTCTTGTGAATAATGTGCTTGCAGCTTGTGTTCTCCACAATATATGCATCTCTGAAGATGATGGTGATCTACCAATTGAGCCGCAGCAACCAAATGCAGCAGAGAACTTTGATGACACATTTGCTAGAGATGGACATGAACTTCAAGGAGTACAACTGAGACAACAACTTATGCAACAGCTACTAAACATCTAATAAATGAATTCAAAGAACACAGTAGTATTTTTTTTTCTTTTGTTTTGTATTTAAGAAAAATCATAATCGATTCCTTTCGTTGATATAAATAAACAACAAATAAACAAGATAACAATAACAAAAAAAAAAAAGAAAAAATGCACCACATAGAATTTGTGTAAAAAAAAGTATCTAGAAGGAATTTCTTCTCAAATTCTTCCTCAATTTTTACAACTTTTCAATCAGTTTCTCCATTAATTTGTTTGTTTTTTCCTGCATGTTTTGGAACGCATTGAGAAATTTCTCATCCCTGTCTTTTAGGTACTCAACTAACTCATTGCCTTTTTTCTTTTGAGCTTTTTTCTCATTTTCACTGCTGCAGCAGCTGTCTGAACTGGTGTCCTCTCCTCCTAAGACTATGGTAGAACTGGTCTCTTCAGTTCCTAATGAGCTCTTCACAATTGGTGGGTTAAAAGCTGGGTCATCATGTAATATGTCATGCATTTCCATTTCAAGTAGGAATGGCTTTGGCCTGCCGTTTCCTGTTTTTTTCTTTTCCGTTAAATATTTTCGGTAAGCTCTTCTCATAGAGTAGAACTTTTCTCTACACTGATCTGGCGAGGGACTCTTCTTTCCTCCTCCACTCATCGATTCCGCCACCTTTTTCCATGCATTTTTCGAAAAAGATTCCTGTTTTTTCTTTTTATCTTTGAGTGTAGCTAGCAGCTTTTTTGTCGTTGACAATTTCCATTCAAATCTTGATTTGCATTCTCCCTCTGAGTCACTTTCAACATTGTCAGCTCCTGTTTCACAGTAGTTTTCTAATTCGCCATCATTATCTTCTTGAACCGCTGTCACGTCCATGTTATTGTTCTGATCTTCATCTTTACTTTTGTGTTCTTTAAATTTCCTTAAAACCACTTCAGGGATGTGGACATTTCCGTTGATAAAAGTAAAATATATAGGGTCATCTGGGACTTCATCTAATGGTATAAGACCAGTCAACTCTTCCTTAACTTCATCGACATCTGAATAAATTAAAAAGAAATTCAATTAGTGTAAGACAACTGAAAAAGGAATTTTATACTTTTAATTTTAAATAGGTCATTTTGCCTAAATACAAATGTATGCGTGTATACTATAATTACTATATACACGGATGATAAAACATGCATAACACTGTCAACAAGTATATAACGATTTCATAGACAATAATTATATGTATTATTCGAAGGATTTTTTGTCATGACTCATGTATACATCTAAATATGCGTTTTAAACAAAGAATTTATACATATATACTTATCATTTTATAATACAGGTGTGTATTTATTAAAAAAAAAACCTCGCGGATTGAGAAGGGGTGTCTATGATGTATATACAGGTAAAGTATTGACTCAATTTTATACTTACGATCCGATAAATACTTCAAATCTTTTCCCCTGACCAGAAATTTAAAGTTTTTCCCTTTTATTTCCAACTGAAGAGGCAAAACTACATCCGAAATGTCTCTCACATTCGCGTGCACTGTGTTTTCCGCCATTTTTAACGATCCCACTAATGAACGAAAATCCCGCGCTACCAATCCTAACGTGAATGTGGTCGGCCTGCAAAAAAGTTTACCAGTGGTAACTACCATTGGTAAACATTGGTACCATTGGTATAATAATGGTAATTAAAAATACCGACGGTTACCATCTGAAGAACTGTGAACGCACCCAATATATTTTTATAATTTTAAACTGAGTAAATCGATGACATAGCATCGTTTTAGATAACTCAAGCCCCTCTAGGGCTTGAGTAAAAAACAATCTTTTTAGTTTTTAGCTCTACTGCTCAGAAACCAGAGGATCTTATGCGATAGTAATGTGTCCGTCGTACGTCCGTCTGTCTGTCTATTAACAATTTTTTAAAATGCTATTCCTCATACAGTTTTTGTCTGATTTCAATATAACTTCGCATACAGATAAATATCACTGAGGTACATAATTCCATGTATCAGTTTTTGATTTCGATGAACGGTGTTGACATCGTTACTAAAAATAGAAGTTTCTGTGAAATCCTTTCAAAATGCTACAGTTTTGATCTGATTAAATATAACTTGGCACACAAGTAGACTACACTAAGTTACATAACTCTGTTTATGTAATTTTGATTTCGATGAATGGTGTTGCTATTGTTACTAAAATTAGAAATTTCTCTGAAATACTTAAAAATGCTTCACCAAAAACAGTTTTAATCTGAAAATAATATGATGTGACTAAACTGAGATACACAATTGTCTTTTTTTGTTTTTTTAGCTCATCTGAGCTGAAAGCTTAAGTGAGTTTTTCTCATCACATTTTGTCTGTAGTCCGTCTGTCTGTAAACTGTTTACATTTTCGACTTCTTCTCCGGAAACACATGGCCAATTTTACCAAACTTGCCACAAAGCATCCTTGGGTAAAGGGGATTCAAGTTTGTTCAAATGAAGAGCCACCCCCCAATTCAAGAGGGGATAATTGAGAAATAGTGAAAATTTGGTGGCATGTTTAAAAAATCTTCTCAAGAACCACTGTGCCAAAGATAAAACTTATAGAGAAGCATCCTCCGGTAGTGTAGATTCAAGTTTGTTCAAATCATGACCCCCGGTGGTAGTGCGAGGCCACAAGGGATGATCCAAGATTTACATAGAAATTTATAGGAAAAATCTATCAAAATCTTCTTCTCAAGAACAGCAAAGCCATGATTGGTCATATTTATATGGAAGCATCCTCAGGTAGTGTAGATTCAAGTTTGTTCAAATCATGACCCCTTGGGGTAGGGTGGGACCACAATGGGGGAGCAATTTTTTACATAGTGATATACAGGAAAAAAATTAAAATCTTTTTCATGGACACAGCAAAGCCATGATTAATCATATTTACCTGGAATCATCCTCAGGTATTGTAGATTTAATTTTGTTTCAATCACGGGGGGGGGGGGGGGACTTAAAAGGTAAAAAAGCGGTAGTTAGCTTAAGAAATATGCAGGCATCCTTGGTTAGTGTAGATTCATGTTTGTTCAAATCATAGTCCCACCCTTACCACAGTGCTCAGGTGAGCGATGTGACCCATGGGCCTCGTGTTGATTTTGATGAATGATGTTTCCATGGTAACTATAATTGAAATTCTGTGATATTTTAATGAAAGCTACTCCTACAGTTGTAGTCTTATTGCAATTTTCGACAAAAGAGACTTCATGAAAGATCATTATTCTATTTATTGCTGTTGTAAAGTTTCAAGTCCCAACTGCTACTTTTCTCTACCTTTGTTTTAAGTACAAACCCGTAGAGCTACAGTCTCGACAGTGACTTTTTGTTTAAAGTTTTTTGTCGGCCTTCTTGCACTTCTTTGATTAACGTAAACATAAATCCCTGATCACATAACTGCGCATCAAGGTTTTTAACTAGCCAAAACAAAGTAAACAAGATGTCTTAAGATTGTGAAACATTGATGCCAACATTGATTGCAAGATGAAACTTTCTCAAATGCAAATCAAATTTGTTGTTACCCAAAGGCTTCCTTTTGTTAAATATGAAAGCCCAAGCACCATCTGTTCAAAAGTTCTGGCCAAGATTAAAGTTTTTTCCAGAGAAGGTCAAACTCCTACGTCAAGGTCAAAGGGTCAACGTTGTTGTTTTCCTAAGAAAGGTCTCACATTGATTACATATTTGAAGTAGGAAAGCCTTAGCTTTAACCGTTTAAAAGTTATGACCAAGGTTTAAGTTCTTAAAAAGTGGATTAAACACCTAGGTTAAAGTTCAAAAGGTTAAAACTGTTGGTTTTCTAGGGAAGGTCTTGTCACTAGAATTATACGTGTTGAGTCCTAGACCTTACCGTTAAAAAGTTATGACAAAATTTAAAAGTAGGTCAATCTATATGTACCAAGGTCATAGTCAAAGGGTTTTAAATCCAATAAAAGGTCTACTCACACAAAAATACATATAAGAAGTATGAAAGTCCTAGTATCAACCGTTAAAAAGTTATGGCCAAAGTAAAAGTGTGGAATTTTTTGTAAAAGTAGGTCAAACTCACAGGTCAAGGTCATATTTCGTAGTACCCAAAGAAAGTTCTTGTCACAGGGAATGCATCTTTGAAATATGAAAGCCATAGCCCCACCCACTCAAGACTTAGGTTAGTTTTTGCAGACAAACAGCTAGACGGATAGGACAAAGCTATATACCCTGAAACTTTGTTTACTGTGACATAACAATGTATATTTTATAAAATGCAAATTGGATAGACTGTACAATTGTTAATGGGAAAAAAGTGATGATAAGTAAAAGTAATATAATTAAGACTTTTTAAAATTATGACGTCATTAAAAAAATCACTTTATTTTCAGCAGATTATTATACTTCTGTCATATTATTGTGTCCGTATACATTTATATTGTTTAGCATAACTTTAAAATAGATATGTACCTATATTTGGCATGCTACTTAACTCTGCGATAACATCAAAATGTTATTTATGTATTAGATTTGCTTAACGTTTTTCAATCTATCAGTAGTTTTACTAGTGAATACTTGTCTCGTATTCTTTCTTTCACTGTAGCTCAATGATTAAGATCTAGAATTTCTTGTAGGACGATTTCCACCTTAGTCTGGACTTTCAGTAAGGCATGGCATTCTCGTCGTTATGTAATTTAGCGTCTGTCAAATGGCGAATAGATTCTAATCGGTTTCGGGTTAAGAAATTAATAACATCAGGAACTTTAAATTGTTGTTGATAACGATGAGACGACTTAAGGTCCACCTCTTTGTCGGACGAGACAATGTTATTGGTTATTCGATAAACTAATTGGCATGTATTTTTCAACAGTGAAGGAAAGCTGTGTTAATTTCAGAAGGTAATTATGTAACGTCGAGAATGCCACGCCTTACTGAAAGTCCAAACTAAGATGGAAATCGTCCTAAATGATGTCAATGGTCAAACAACATTGTCAGATGAAGTGGAAAGGAATATTAACCTATATATGAAACTGTATGTTTTTATATGCAGATGTTAAAGTATTTTGCTCTCAGATGACCATTATGACTATCAACATCGATTAGATATTTTTTCTAAATATTGTGAAAATGGGAATTTAAAGGTGAATGAAACGTATGGATATAACAAATCGAACAGTAGTACAGATAAAAAAAACCAATACAAAATAGGAGCAGAGTAAACACAGACCTCCGAAACCTCAGAGGTGGGATCAGGTGCCATGGAGGAGTAAGCGTCCCCTGCCGACCGGTTACACCCACCGTGTGCGCCTTGTCATGATCGGGAAATAACGGAAAAATCCGTCGTCAATTCAGTGTATAAAAATAATGGACTGTCAATAATATGGAAAACGTCAGTCAGGATTTGACTCTATCATAAATTGTATTTGCTGACAAGGTCATTGTATCGACCATAGAACTTACGAAATGATGACTTTAAACGAGTCTGCTGAAATTCTTGTTTCATCAACTTGTTTGTCAATAATATACATCGTTATAGAAATTGTTCATACGTAGAGCCTGCTCAATCAACAAGGATATGTAAACTCCGTATGCAGGTAATGAAGATATATTGCTGCATAAGTAAGGGAAGTTGACAATAGAAAAGTTAAAGTCATCACGTTTATCATAGAGCTTGGTTGTTAGATTACCATTAGCGTCTTTTTCAAGTAAAATATCTAAATATGAAACAGATGTGTCACTCTGTGGTATCTTTTATCTCAACCTCTACGGGATTTATCGTATCGACATAAGAATGGAAATTACCATTGTTAGTTGACAATACGTTGTCGATTTATCTAAATGTCGAGTTGAAGGCCAAAGCAAGTCTTTTCTTCTTTTCCCGCATAAGATTTTGCACAAATTCTGCTTTATGTGAATTCAAAAATAGGTCTGCTATTAACGGGGCGTAATTGGTTCCCATGGGAATGGAGATAACGAACAGTTTTCAAGATCAAAAGTCCATAAAACAATACGATATAGGAGCAGAGCAAACACGGACCCCCCAAAATCAGAGGTGGGACAAGGTACCATGGAGGAGTAATAAATTGTATTTGATGACAAGTTCATTGTATCGATGAAGAATAAGGAGATAACGAACAGTATTCAATATCAAAGTCCATAAAACTATACAAAATGGGAACAGAGCAAACAGGGACCTCAAAAACATCAGAGGTGGGATCGACCATAGAATTTACGGAATGATAACTATAAACGAGACTGCCGATATTCTTGTTTCATCAACTTGTTTGTCAATAATTTACATCGTTTCAGAAAGTAACCTGGTCAGAAATAGGAAATGCTCACACATATATTTTAAAACTAACTATTTAGCCAAGGTATTTCTTCAAAGTTAATCTTTGTAGTTAATTATTATGCCCCCCTTCGAAGAAGGGAGGGCATATTGCTTTGCTGCTGGCTGTCGGTCCGTTCATTTTCTTTGCAGAGGGTGCAAATATTGAAATGAAATTTGGTATACAGATTTATCATAACAATATCTAGGTCAAGTTTTGTTTTAGGTACGATCGTACCATCTTGGGCAGAGTTATGCCCCTTGGACTTGGAAAAATTCCAATTATTTGCAGTTTCCGTCCATTTTCTTTGCAGAGGTTAAACATACTGAGATGAAATTTGGTATAAAGATTTATCAGAACAATATATAGGTCAACTTTTGATTTGGGTACGATCAAACCATTTTGGACAGAGTTATGCCCCTTGGATTTAGAAAAATCCCATTTTTTGCAGTTTCCGTTCATTTTCTTTGCAGGGGTTGCACATATTGAAATACAGATTTTTTATAAAAATATTTAGGCCACGTTCTGTTTTTGGTTACGATCGAGCCATTTTGGACAGAGTTATGCCCCTTGGACTTAGAAAAATTCCAATTTTGGGGGGAGGGGGGCGTAAGTGTTTTATAAACATCTCTTGTAATATATAGGGAAAATTATCACATATCCAATATATATTCAGGAAATGTGAATAGAAACATCAGATATGCGATTTCTAATTGAAAATTTCTAATTATCAAATATATTGTAGGTTAAAAAGCTATAGGTATCCAAAAAATATGTAAGAATGTGTTTCAAAGATGTGCAATATTCTATTTCATTCAATTGATATATAATATGTGTTTTAAAAACTTTTACTATTGCAATTGCGCAAGACATAACAGATGATATCGTCATTTCTAATTTTTAAATCATGCTAATAAGCTTTGGTATCCAAGGGTAGATTCAAGAAAATCCCATTTCTCTAAAACTATATTAATTTGTTTTTGACATTTTCATGTATATAGAACTTTTACATATGGTTCCTACATCTTATAAGAACATTGAATTATATGAAGATGCATAAAAAGAAAATCGTAAATTTTACTATCGAATCGTTGCATAAAAAAATTTAATTTCCAACTTTATATTGAGGCTTTTTAATTTAAATGACAATTTTAGGAGTTATCATTCCCGGTTTAGGATCGAATATTCTTAATAGCTTCCCCAGACAACCTGTGTCCATTATCTTTTAGATAAGATGTTAAAACGAGTTTTGAAAATCTTGTAATATGCATTCCAATTATGAATCAAAATCTGTACCTTTATGTAACTTAAAATTTTCCAATATATGGTAACATCCTTAAAATACTTGTTTTGATTCTTTTGTTGTTCCTTTTGTCGTTGGATATAATCATCTTTATGAAATTGAAGCTCACGTTTTACTACATTAAAGCATCCCTACAATAAAATACAATCATTAAAACTGACCATGATTCGTTAACATTCATTTAAACTCGATTATAAGTCACTTGGACTTTATTGTTTTTATAGTCACTGCAGCTTCTATATATGTATATCTTAAGAAAAATGAAAAAAATCGTATTTGGATTCATAAAGATCTTTTAACGAAAATAATCTTATATATAATTCTTTTTCTTAAAATATACTTATAATTATCGTTTTTATGTAAACTGTATTTCAATTACCATTTTATAGAAGCCTGACTCTACATATTCGTAACATCTGCTATTTGTCTCTGAAGGATTCTTTGCATTGTAGCTTGCACAGCATGTCTTTGGTATCTGTGAGTTGGTCATCTGACAATCTCCAGATGTTGTACACCATGGTGTTGTGTCAAAGTCATTCGTGGTAGAGTTTATCGGGTTAACAGCGCAACAATTACGCTGGAAATATATGTTATTAACAATACTATTAAAACTCCATTTGAAGTCATAATCGCGAAATAACGAAATAAAAAAAAAAAAAAAAAAAAAAAAAAAACGTCAACATTTCAGTAAATATATATATAATGGCATAGTCTTTAGTTTGAAAAACCATTAAAAATTATATGGACTTTGCAAAATACAACTTTTTCCCTTGAACTTGATTTATTTCTCAAAATACGAAGTTCGTTGTGCCGATAAACGGCATACTTTTGAAAAAAGAAGCTCCAAACACTGCATACTAAAGAGTTCTAATTGCAGGATATTTTAATGTTAATAGAGTGATCTGCCTTAGAAGTGAAATTAAAAAAAATTGTTTATTTACAGTTTATTATAAAATTTGTTATAGACTATAATATGCTTAACATTATATTAGACCAAGAATAAGTAATTGAATTCATTAGTTGCATTATTCTTCCCAATGTAAATAAACAACAGTGTTTTGGTTCACTCAAAGTCACTTTTCTTTGAACTTTTTTCCTGCATAGTTAAGGCAGATAACCTACGTTGAAAATTAATTAAATAATCTAAATATACACACCTTTATATGATATATTTTTCTCCAAGTCCAAAAAGCACTTTTTGTTAGTGTTTAGAGCTTCCATAATTCTACGCATTTAGTACAAATAGTTTGTCATAAAGCATTAAAATATTAACGTTACAGTCCATTTGACCTTTTTCCTATTTTGCAAAAATGGGTTGTTAAATTTAATGTTTCTTTCCAAGTTTGAGAGGCAGGGTTTTTAGGTCACTTGAGTCCCTCACGTGACCTATTGCTATCTCCTTTCGTCCGTCGTAATGCTTCGTTAGTTACTTTTTGATAATTTTCAGCTCTGAAACAACTCAAGCAAAACAGGGCATAAAGCATCTATGGGTGAAGGTTAACAAAAATTAAGAATTTCATTTTCCCTCCTCCCCTGGAACCAGAGGGGTGGGACCAAAACCGTTAAATTAATGCAATCTTTTAAAATTATCTTTACTTCTGGACATAAAACATTCAAAGTGTTTGCATGATTGTAATAAGCATTGAGTCCTCTACCAAAATTGTGAGATTCATGGCCCTAGGGTCAGGGGTTCTAGTGCTGGGCGGGGCTAAATAGATTATACATATATAATGAAAATGAATTAATGCATTATTTCTTTAAAAATGTTCTTCTCTGCTCCCTGGCATTAAACAAAAAAACTTAATGTAGACTTATGATGAGCAAGAATGTCTCTTCCAAAACTCTTCATTTTATGGACCCAGGATATGGAATCCGCTACTAGGACATATTTCTTATGATTCCATACTTAAAATGCATTAATTGTTTGAAATTTTCTTCTCTACTCCTGGGTATTAAACTTACTACATACATGTACATGTAGTATGATGAGGAAGGGCGTCTCTTCCAAAACTTTGAATGTCATGGCCTCATGCCATATCTTCTCTGCTCCCGGATATTAAACTTAATAACTACTGATGAGCAAGTGTCCTTCTTCCAGAATTGTGATTTTCAAGGCCTTTGTGTCATGGGTAGCATAGAGAGGGAGGAAGCAGTAATGAGTATACGATAAAAATGAAATAATGCTCCTTGGTATTGATCCAAATAAGCAAGGTGCCTTTTCCAAAATGTTCAAATGTGTGGCCCAAAGGCCAGGAGTTCCTGTGAGATGGCCACTACTGATTTTATATTGGAAATGCATATTTTCTTTTTTTTCCTCTAATCTGCCTTGGGTATTAAGTAATCAAAGTAAGCATGCTAAGTAAATAGTTATGATAAACAATGGTGCCTCACTTAAAATTGTGAATTTCATGGCCTCAAATTAAATTGTTGGAAAGTTGTTGCATGATATATGTACTCAGGTGACCAATAACTTATAAGGCCCGTGGTTATGTTTTCTTGAAACAGTTTTTTACTTTATGATACAAGTGATATTTAGATATTATGAAAATACATCAGTGTGTTATTCCACACTGGATCGCGCAGATCGACAATAGCAGTGAAAACTGAGGGGGCACGTTTTAACAAAATAATATTTAAATAATTTTCATTTAAGGGTTGTCGAACTAAATAATTTACATTTAAGGTTGGTGGACTATATTTCTATTTCAAGATATTGAAGTTCAAAATTACACCTGATAATTTTAATATTAGAACTTACCCCGATGAAAAATCTTAAGTTCCAGCTGTCAGATACATTGTTGTCTGTATCTGTGCTATCACTGGTATAATTTTTAGTCAGAGATGCACTCATATTACTTTTCAGCTTTATAAACTTTGAAGAAAAGTAAATAATGAATGAATTTTAAAAAATTATAAATACAGAAATATATTGCAAATGAGATAAATATTTTCATGTCCAATTCTTCTTCAGTTTGATATATAAGGAGAAGGAGTAAATGGAAAAAACAATTAAAGAGAAAAAAACGTACAAACTCGCTGTTGTTCAGGTTTTTGTCTATAGGGTCCTCCAACCTCCTTTGTTTGACTGATTGTGTTACAAATAGCACAGTGGTAACGATGCTTAGCTATAATGATAATCAAAATAAATGTCATAAATTGAACATTAAACTTTTTCTGGTATCAAAATATCTACATGTATATTCTAAATAATAAGAATGTCTTATGACCTTAATTTTTTTCTTTTGTGAATAATGTATCTCTGGCCTATTTTGCTGTTTAGAGTGTATTTAATTTTTTTTGGTTTACAAAAGAAAACAAAATGATACTTTTGTGCTGATAATAAGCTTTGAAAATTTAATATTTATAGTAGTGTAAATTTTATCTGTCTTGAAATAATTTATAATCAAAAGCTGAATTTCTATACGAAATTAAAAATAGAAGTATTTGTTTTCGTAGACTTGATGATTATTTATTTGCAATACAAATCTCCAGCCAAAAAAATCAGGTAATCTAATTGATCTAGAAAAATAGTCCTTTTAGGAAAATAGTCCTACTTTTCCAAGTGCTTTATATAGTCTACAATGGTCATGACCACCCAGCGCTAAAAGAGTGAAGATGCTTACAACAATACAAATTGCCAATAGTATCATCCATATTAATCTCCAACCTTCTTTGGCTTTCAGCAAGATCAGCAGCACTAGAAGGGACATTAAAATTTCAATACCAGATAAACCAATCGTTGATATAAAAACTTTCTGAGAAAACGCACTGTCTAATGGCTCATTGACAGGTACTAAATCATCGACATTTAGTACTCCAGTTTGTACTCCAATGCGTTCAAGGTCAGTGAGAATACTGTTGTCGACTGTCAATTTATGAATTCTGTGTTTTGGCCTCAGAAGAAAAGCAACAATCTGAAAAACGCAATAAAGCATTGCCAAATACATTGTAATGATATTTAAGAATTGTATTTTTTGCTATAATTCAACATAAAATACAAGGAAATTACATTTTTTAAATAAAGTATTGGTTACATCATAGGTTCTATATACACCATACTTACAATGACTGCAGCATTTATCAAAAGGATTAAAACGAGCAGTCCTGCTATCACCTTCAATAGAAAAAAATTCACATAAACCTAGTGTATAAAAGTGTTTGAGTATATGAAATTTTTTTAAAAAAATGAGATCATGAAATGTACGGAGATAACGAACAGTATTCAAGCTCCAAAGTCTAATCAACAATACAAAATTAGGGAACCGAGCAAAAATGACCTCTAAACATCAGAGAAGGGATCAGGTGCCATTTAGTGAGCATTCCCTGCCGACCGGTCACAACCACTGTGTACTCCTTGTCACGATCGTATGAAAACGGAAAAAATCGGTCGTCGTTAATATCAAAACTTACCAGATTAAGTGTTTAGAAATCAGATAGTTTCATGGAAACTATTAAGTACTTACTGTTAAGATATTCTAATACATGCCCCCTCCCATCAGTCCCTTGTGGTGAACAATTCGTAAAAAGCATATATGAAGTTTGAGACCATAGCATACAATACGAGTCCCTTGAAATTCTAGTGGGATCAGATGCTTGAGGAAAGAAGACATCCCCTGCCGACCGGTCAAACTCACTTTAAACATAAAGTGCAGGCAGAGGATATATTACATGGTCATATTAAATGTAGAAAAAGAACATCTATATTGAGACAAAAATGTATAATTGATTGATTGTATATTGTTTAACGTCCCTCTCGAGAACTTTTCACTCATATGGAGACGTCAGTATATACCGGTAAAGGCTGCAAATTTTGTCCTATACTCAGGGCCATTGAGTAGGGAGGGATCTTTTTCGCGCCAGCACCTTCTGCGACACGGGGCCTCGGTTTATACCGTCTCATCCGAAGGACCGGTCTCCACGTCCCACGGTGGGATTCGAACCCGCAACATAAGGATTGATTCCTTCCTTGGCAACTCTAGTGCAGACGCTCTAATCTCTGCGCCACGCGAACGCAAGCCAAGATACAAACAAAGGATTTGTTATAATTGCTCACAAGATCAGTATATCAATCTTGCATTTAAGAAATGTTGACTTGAAATAAGGCTGTTAAACCCTTGTAACAGAAACTTATCTGTCAATAACCTGTCTTGGTTAAAAATTGATAGCATTGTACTCGGAGCATGCTCGTGAGTATGGAACAGCTGTTAGGAGACATGTGCTATGTACATGTGTTAGCAGAAAATTACTACAACCAGAAGTCTCTGTTGAGACTGAAGCTCTACTGGTTTGTACTTATAGCAAAGGAAGAGGAAAGTACTTAAGCAGTTGGGAATTGAAACTTTACACTAGCAAAAAAGAGAATAACGATCCTTGAGTAAGTCTCTTTATGTTCTTAGTGTAGTCTACTTGCATGCCACATTATATTATAATCAGACTAAAACTGTATTTGAAGTAGCATTTTGAGAGTAACAGAAATTGCTATCTTTATTAACCAAGGTAATAATGTTCATTGAAGTCAAAAACGGATATAAAGAATTATGTACCTTAGTGTAATCGACTTGTGTGCCAAGTTATATTGAAATCATACCAAAACTGTAGGAGGAGTAGCATTTTGAAAGCATTTTACAGAAATTTCTATTTTTAGTAACAATGCCAACACCGTTCATCGAAATCAAAAACCGATATACAGAATTATGTATCTTAGTGTAGTCTACTTGTGTGCCAAGTTATATTGAAATCAGACCAAAACTGTAGGAGAAGTAGCATTTTGAAAGAATTTTACAGAAATTTCTATTTTTAGTAACAACGCCATCATCGTTCGTCGAAATCAAAAACTGATATACAGAATTATGTATCTTAGTGTAGTCTACTTGTGTGCCAAGTTATATTGAAAGCAGACCAAAACTGTAGGAGGAGTAGCATTTTGAAAGAATTTTACAGAAATTTCTATTTTTAGTAACAACGCCAACATCGTTCGTAGAAATCAAAAACCGATACACAGAATTATGTATCTTAGTGTAGTCTACTTGTGCGACAAGTTTTATTGAAATCAGACCAAAACTGTAGGAGGAGTAGCATTTTGAAAGAATTACACAGAAATTTCTATTTTTAGTAACAACGCCAACCCCTTTCGTCGAAATCAAAAACCGATACACAGAATTATGTATCTTAGTGTAGTCTACTTGTGTGCCAGGTTATACTGAAATCAGACTAAAACTGTAGGAGAAGTAGCATTTTGAAAGAATTTCACAGACATTTCTATTTTTAGTAACAACGTCAACACCGTTCGTCGAAATCAAAAACCGATATACAGAATTATGTATCTTAGTGTAGTCTACTTATATGCCAAGTTATATTGAAATCAGATCAAAACTGTAGGAGGAGTAGCATTTTGAAAAATTGTTTACAGACAGACAGACAGACGGACAGACGGACGGACGCCGGACGCATTACTATCGCATAAGCTCTTCTGGTCTCTGACCAGTAGAGCTAAAAATAAGGAAAGTTGAGGATGGAAAAGCTCATCGGATTAGTTATATAGTTTTTTAGCTCTACTGGTCAGAGACCAGAAGAGCTTATGCGATAGTAATGCGTCCGGCGTCCGTCCGTCTGTCCGTCTGTCTGTAAACAATTTTTCAAAATGCTACTCCTCCTACAGTTTTGATCTGATTTCAATATAACTTGGCATATAAGTAGACTACACTAAGATACATAATTCTGTGTATCGGATTTTGATTTCGACGAACGGTGTTGGTGTTGTTACTAAAAATAGAAATTTCTGTGAAATTCTTTCAAAATGCTACTCCTCCTACAGTTTTGGTCTGATTTCAATATAACTTGGCACACAAGTAGACTACACTAAGATACATAATTCTGTGTATCGGTTTTTGATTTCGACGAACGGTGTTGGCGTTGTTACTAAAAATAGAAATTTCTGTGAAATTCTTTCAAAATGCTACTCCTCCTACAGTTTTGGTCTGATTTCAATATAACTTGGCACACAAGTAGACTACACTAAGATACATAATTCTGTGTATCAGTTTTTGATTTCGACGAACAATGTTGGCGTTGTTACTAAAAATAGAAATTTCTGTGAAATTCTTTCAAAATGCTACTCCTCCTACAGTTTTGGTCTGATTTCAATATAACTTGGCACACAAGTAGACTACACTAAGATACATAATTCTGTGTATCGGTTTTTGATTTCGACAAACGATGTTGGCGTTGTTACTAAATATAGAAATTTCTATGAAATTCTTTCAAAATGCTACTCCTCCTACAGTTTTGGTCTGATTTCAATATAACTTGGCACACAAGTAGACTACACTAAGATACATAATTCTGTTTATCGGTTTTTGATTTTGACGAATGGTGTAGGCGTCGTTACTAAAAATAGAAATTTCTGTGAAATTCTTTCAAAATGCTACTCCTCCTACAGTTTTGGTCTGATTTCAATATAACTTGGCACACAAGTAGACTACACTAAGGTACATAATTCTTTATATCCGTTTTTGACTTCAATGAACATTATTACCTTGGTTAATAAAGATAGCAATTTCTGTTACTCTCAAAATGCTACTTCAAATACAGTTTTAGTCTGATTATAATATAATGTGGCATGCAAGTAGACTACACTAAGAACATAAAGAAACTTATTCAAGGATCATTATTCTCTTTTTTGCTAGTGTAAAGTTTCAATTCCCAACTGCTTAAGTACTTTCCTCTTCCTTTGCTATAGGTACAAACCAGTAGAGCTTCAGTCTCGACAGAGACTTCTGGTTTGGTATTGGACCTTATTTTCTATAGTGACCAAAACATATATATATGAAACAGATGTAATGTCTAATTTTGAGTTTACCTGGACATATCGAGTCGATATACAAAAAAGTAACTAAATAAATAAATTGGGTCAATATAAACCAGAAGTCTCTGTCGAGACTGAAGCTCTACTGGTTTGTACTTATAGCAAAGGAAGAGAAAAGTACTTAAGCAGTTGGGAATTGAAACTTTCCAACAGCAATAAATAGAATAATGATCCTTGATTAAGTCTCTTTATGTTCTTAGTGTATTCTACTTGTATGCCAAATTATATTATAATCAAACTAAATCTGTATTTGGAGTAGCATTTCGAGAGTATTAATCAGAAATTTCTATTTTTAGTAACCACGGCAACATCGTTCATCAAAATCAAAACCAATACAAAGAATTATGTATCTTAGTGTAGTCTACTTGTGTGCCAAATTACACTGAAATCAGACCAAAACTGTAGGAGGAGTAGCATTTTGAAAGAAATTCACAGAAATTTCTATTTATAGTAACCACGGCAACACCATTCATCAAAATCAAAAACCGATAAACAGTATTATGCATCTTACTGTAGTCTACTTGTGTGCCAAGTTACATTGAAATCAGACCAAAACTGAAGGAGAAGTAGCATTTTGAACGAATTTCACAGAAATTTCAATTTTTAATAACCACGACAACACCGTTCATCGAAATAAAAAACCGATACACAGAATAAAGTATCTTAGTGTAGTCTACTTGTGTGACAAGTTTTATTGAAATCAGACCAAAACTGTAGGAGAAGTAGCATTTTGAAAGAATTTCACAGAAATTTCTATTTTTAGTAACCACGGCAACACCGTTCATCGAAATCAAAAACCGATATACAGAATTATGTATCTTAGTTTAGTCTACTTGTGTGCCAAGTTACATTGAAATCAAACCAAAACTGTAGGAGGAGTAGCATTTTGAAAAAATTTCACAGAAATTTCAATTTTTAGTAACCACGGCAACACCGTTCATCGAAATCAAAAATCAATATACAGAATTATGTATCTTAGTGTAGTCTACTTGTGTGCCAAGTAACATTGAAATCAAACCAAAACTGTAGGAGGAGTTGCATTTTGAAAGAATTACACAGAAATTCCTATTTTTAGTAACCACGGCAACACCGTTTATCGAAAACAAAAACCGATACACAGAATTATGTATCTTAGTGTAGTCTACTTGTGTGCCAAGTTACATTGTAATCAAACCAAAACTGTAGGAGGAGTAGCATTTTGAAAGAATTACACAGAAATTTCTATTTTTAGTAACCACGGCAACACCGTTTATCGAAATCAAAAACCGATACACAGAATTAATCTTAGTGTAGTCTAATTGTATGCCAAGTTATATTGAAATCAGACCAAAACTGTAGGAGGAGTAGCATTTTGAAAAATTGTTTACAGACGGACGGACGCCGGACGCATTACTATCGCATAAGCTCTTCTGGTCTCTGACCAGTAGAGCTAAAAAAGCAGCTAAATGGTTCATATGAAAATTGGAGATACAATTAAATATTTCCGTTTCTTTTTGGTATCTAAATTGATATAGCTGCACATTATTTTGGGAAAACAACATTTAGCAAACAGTAGGGAAGCTATTTTGTTCAGAATGTTCTCGTAAAAATTATCAAACTGTGTTTTTCTGTCATTGGTGTTACCTTATAAAATTTTGTTGTATAGAACCAAGTGAAAAACTTATGAATGCAAGCTATGATAAACATTTACTAGGATTATTCAAGTTTACTGATAAGTACAAAAGTAACGTTGTCCAGTGATGAAAATTAAGTTTTCAATCATATTTGGACATTGACATGAGACAAAAATCAATAGACACACGCTAAACTATGCTGTAAATGTTGTGCCATGTGTGTATAAATCAAAATAATATAGTTTATGATTTTTTTTCAAGGAGGGAAATTAGGTAATATAAGGTTATTTCTTACATTTAAACTTATTAAAAGTAAAAATTAACAAGATTTAGGTTGGTTACTCCACTGACTCAACTGTAACACCAATGATCAAAATTAGTAATACCAATGACTTAGCACTTCACAATTAGCAATTAAATATAATATAACATAAAACTTCATATGAAAGACAGAATACACTGCATAGGTAACATACAACAATGAAATAAGTTTCTGGGATTTCATACTTAAAATGATCTTATAACAAAACGAAATCTGGTAACACCAGTGACAGAGACTTATCCCAATGTGACCATAGAATAATGCAGAGCTACATGAGATGTTCTGTCATTTAATCATTTAAAGAATAAGAGATTTATGTAGATATGTAGATAACTTTAAAAAAATATAAAGGAGAAAACCCCCTTTTACAAAGATTAATTTTTTCTAATACTTTTCTTCAGTTAAGCCCCACACGTATACTGTATACTAATGCATGGGAAAAGCTGAAAAAAATAGTGTTGGTTTATCATTGGTTTGAAGAAAATAATGTTGGTAGGGTAAATAGTCTCAATTGTGAAGGATATAATTGTTTTAAAACCCACATTCTTCATTAAAGAACTAGTAGATAAAATGTATTATTCAAAATCTCATGTCACTCACTGGTGTAACTTCACTAATCATTGGTGTTACCATAAAAGGTAACTATTTATAGAGAGATTTAAACAAACTAAGTTAAACTTGACTAATTTTACTTTATTTAGGTGATAAACTCTGACATTCATGCATGGCCTGTGAATTTTTCAGAAGGGAAAATATATTTTATGAGCATAAAAAATGTTTGTCATTGGTGTTACATGTATATGATCTGAAGTTGTCATTGGCATTACCATATATTCAAAATGTCTGTATGTGAAAAAAAAATATTTATTGGAAAATAAATCTAATTACTTTCAAGCACCATAAATTAGGTTTGCAAAGTAGAATACAAAAAAATAATTTTTTCGATATAAGAAGAATATATTTTGCCTCCAAAAGTACCTGTTTTGTCAGTGGTGTAACCATTCCTGTCATTGGTGTTAAACTTTAGGAAGTAATGCCAATGACAGTAACACCAATGACGTATTAGTCATAAAATGATCTGGTATCTCTGATTTACCCTGGATAAAGTAAAAGTTTTGTTCACATTGCTATTAGTGCACCTAAAGAATATCTTTCGTAAAAGAGTTCAATGAATATATAAAATCTTGTTGAAATAACGATGGAAACACCACTGACAAAAAATGTTTGTACTAGTCTACCTTTTTTACTTCTGAAGTCCATCAATATGTTCTGATCATGAATATCTAGGAACACTTTCTGTTGTTTTTGGTGAGAAGTGATGTAATATGACTTAGGACTGTTTATATTCTCTTATCAGGAATGATAACTCTTTTAAAGCAAAAACAAAAATGGTAACACCAATGACACAATTTTCTTGTACAGTCATATCTAATGCTGTATCAGTTAAATGGAAGATGTGGCTCAGATTTTTTTATTCAAACATATATTCTATTTAACGTTTATTTTATGCATACATGATTTTTCAGACAAAATTTCATTTAATTTTTGGCGTATGTATCCTTATTTGAAGAGAAGAATTCTATTGACAGCATGAATTTGGCTGATTGGTGTAATAAAAATCATCCATTGACTTTAATGAAATTAATTTTGTAAAAATTCTATTAGTAAATAGAAAGTATAGATGTCATACATTGTAAAGCAACAATCCAAAATAGGGAGAAAAGAAGAAATAGGATTTTACAAAGAAGTGACACGTTTAGCTGCTTTTTTTTTATATTGACCCTATTAATTGTTAGCTGATAAAACGTGTACATATATCTGAATATCAAACAGAAGATTTCTGTATAAATTCTGCTTCATTTATATATATTATATAAGATAACAAGAGGCCCATAGGCCTTATAGGTCACTTGAGCATTATGCAAGGGTAGGCCTTATAGGTCACTTGAGCATTATGCAACAACTTTCCAGTGATTGAATTTGATTCATGTTTTAAGCCTGATGCTATGGCATTCACAATTTTGAAAGAGGCAGCATTGATCATCATAACTATAAACTTAGCAGTTGTTTAGTTTGGTTACTTAATACCCATAGGCAGGGTAGGGGAACAAAAAATGCATTTCAACTAATTAATAATATTCAGCAATAATCAGTTGTGCCCCTACCACACATGAACCCCTGACCCTTAGGCCTAGATCCACACATTGCACAATTTTTGAAAAGGCATCCTTGCTTTTCAAAATTGTTTGATTAACATTTCAAACAATTCTTTCATTTTCAGTAAATAAGTACAGTCCCCCCTCTTTGGTACCCCTGACCATGGAGCCTTGAAATTCACAATTCTGGAAGATTAGGGCCCTTACTCATAACTATATAGGTAGTTTATCTGCTTAATATCCAGGAGCAGAGAAGAAAACTTTAAAAGATTTAATGCATTTTCACTATATAATCAATAGAGCCCTGCCCTAACACCAGAACCCTAGACCCAGGGGCCATAAAATTTACAATTTTGGTAGAGACACTCTTGCTCATCATAACTATGTACTTAGTTTATTTAATACCCAGGAACAGAGAAGAAGATTTTCAAAGAATTCATGTATTTTCACTATATAATCAATAGAGCCCCGCCATAACACTAGTACCCCTGACCCCGGGGCCATAAAATTCACAATTTTGGTAGAGGCTCTCTTGCTCATCATAACTATGAACTTAGTTATTCTATTTAATACCCAGGAGTAGAGAAGAAGATTTTCAAAGAATTCATGTATTTTCACTATATCATTAATAGAGCCCCGCCCTAACACCAAAACCCCTGACCCCAGGGCCATGATTTAACAATTTTGGTAGAGGCACTCTTGCTCATCATAACTATGTACTTAATTGGTTTATTTAATACCCAGGAGCAGAGAAGAAGATTTTTCAAAGAAATAATGCATTTTTACTATATACTTATTTAGCCCCAGCCTAGCAGTAGAACCCCTGACCCCAGGGCCATGAATATCACAATTTTGGTAGAGGACTCAATGCCAATTACAATTTTGCAAACAGTTTGACTGCTTGATGTCCAGGAGTAAAGAAGAAGATTTTTAAAGATTGCATTAATTTTAGTGGTTTTGGCCCCACCCCTCAGGCCCCAGGGGGCAGTGATCATGAAAATCATAAATTTTGTTCCCGTTTACCCATAGATGCTTTGTGCCAAATTTGGTTGAAATTGGTTCAGTGGTTGCAGAGATGAAGCTGAAAATGTTTAAATAATAACGCACGACGACGGACGAAAACGGACAGCAATAGGTCACCTGAGTTTACTCAGGTGACCTAAAAAGGCGGCTAATAAAGGAGCCCAATTAGTTTCCATTGAATTTACAAAAACTTGCTGGAAGAGGGAGCTGGCCGCAGGATCATAAACTGAGAACAGATGCAAGCCAAATTTTTAGATAATTTTGATTAAAAAACAAAATCTAATTTAACAGTCTCATTTAAAGTAAACATTTCGCAAGTTATTTGGCCTATACAATAACCTTTTCAGTAAATACAATCTACACGTACTATCAAGCCAAATGCTGATGAACCTCTTTTCATACTAATTACATGTATATAACGCCATTATTAACATACTGAGTGGTCTACAGATTTATCTGGTTTTTCCTTGACAATGGCGGGTGTGATCGCCCGACAAGAAATGTTCACTGCTTCATTGCAACCGATCCCACCCTGAAGAGAATTTCTATGTGATTTGTAAGCTTCCATAATTCAGTTGAAACGCTGTTATGAATATTTCAAGAACTAGAATTTATGATCCACAACACATTATACATTGTTTGTCCTCAGATGTCTACAGTAAACCGACCGTGAGTGTTATTTAATTTTGCACCGTTGTAATCTTTCTTTGAAAATTCCTTATTTTATTTTTCATTCCTACTGCTATTTCGAGGTTTCTTTGTGCTGTTCAATTTGATACACCGTCCTTAACACACAAAATTTTGTCACAATACATATCGGAATAAACAGTATTGATAGCATTTATGAAGATTTTGAATATATTTTTTTTCCTTTATATATGGGTTATGTAATGCATAATATTTTTCCTTAGTCTATCTTTTTTTAGCTTGTAAAAGGAAGTAGCCTGTTTGTTTTTGTTAGGCAATTTATTAAAATAATGAAGTCCCTTGAAAATATAAAACGTTGTGAAAAATTCTATTATTTATTGGCAGTTATTTTTCAAACACGAAATGAATTAAAAACACAAAGAAATACATGTACAAACCTTTTTAAGTCTAGTCATTGTGTGTATGCCTTCTAACACTGAAATCTATGAACGCCTAGAAGTGTCTTTTTCCTGTTAAAATCATGGTATAGGAAGGGTCGCCTTGTATTAGGAGAAAATGCCTAGAGTTTGACTACTCGGTCGGATCGTGCAAACTTAACGAGGCCGAGTCTAATTATTTCTACCCAAGGGATTTTGATAATTTTTCGTTAATTAATTTTTACTGTTATATTTATTGTTTTAAGATTAAAAAATCGAATGTTTACCATCCCGATTTCTTAGGGGACCATCTAAAAAGTTGTTTAACTTTACTATTGGACCCTATGGAAATTTGTTGGAAAAGCGCCAAATTATCATATTTTTTCCATATATATTGTATTTCTGCCCTAGAGATTTCTTCTTCAGTCAAGTAGATGAAAGTTATTGTAAAAAGTCACCACATTGTGAAATTTAAAAAAAAGTTGACCATCTTGTTTGGTCTAGGTCTAAATTACAAAGTTTATTTTTTTGATGCCTAGTACCTCTAAAATTGCAATATTGGGGTATAAATACATATCGGTGCAGATGAATTATCGGCGCAGATAATTCTTTTTGGTAAAAATAGCAACATTTAGATTGCTAGTATGCTTCCTTTAATGTTCTGTTAACAGTTTTTAGTATAATATCCATGGACGTCTGCAAAAATATTAAACAAGTCATGTGTCAATCTTCAGCGTTGCTTACAAAATCGGAAAACAGTGACGTCGTTAGAGCCGTTTCAGCGTTTTTTCCAAATTATTGCGTGAAATCACACTTTCAGACCAGTAGCCGTTTCAGATAATATTAATCTTATATTAAAATCACAACATTTGGGAAAGGTGAACTGTCGCACTTATGACTGCGTGAAATTAAAAGGCTGCGCAAAAGCCATGCACACTCGAATTAGACTCGGCCTCGTTAATTGACTTTGATTTTTATATAGACCGGTCAATCGCTGATAAATTAAAATTTAAAAAAAAAAGGTCTATAAATCGCACTCCCTTGGCATTATTTGTCCAAAAAGAGAGTTTCTGTTCAACCATTGCATGATTCTATTAATCAAATCAGTAAAGAAAACTAATTAATCATTGAAATAGAATGTAAAAAAATTATTAAGACTTCGTCTTTCAAAAACAGTAACTTCTGAATCAGTAACGTAAAGGATACACAAGAGATCAAGCCAGTCGAAGACTTCAATGTATATGCTGTATCCTGGAGGATTTAGTGGCAACATTATACAGGATGCGCATTTGCATTTATATAATGGGAAACTTCCTTAAAAAACATTGATAAATCCTACTGATGGACTTCCTTAACAACTGCCAACATGCACAGGCTTTAACAACTAATTTAGATATCAGTATATATCTTGACTTACAAGTGCATTACACATGTATCAGCTGCGCAAGCGTCGTTAACAAGTAATCTATTCGCTTTCCACTGATAAAACAGATAAAAGTTTAAGTGCATGCCATATTACATATACATGTAAAACAGTAGAGTACTGATCATAAAGTAGTAAAAAGTTTTTATTTAAGTATTATAATGCAAACTTTAAGAAACCTTTGTAGGACAAAATTCTCCCAATATATTTTGTTTGTGTGTTTGAAGTAAATTAATCTATTTCTTTACATTTTCAGTTTTGATATCTTTTATAAATACATGCCATTGGTTTAATGAGAATTGTTTCAAAAAATCAGTCTATGTTCAGGTTATGAAACTCTTCCTGCTCTCATACTTATTTTAAATAAAAAGCTAGTGTGACTCGTCATCTTTACATGGGTTATACAAACAATCCAGATATTGCATGGTACAATGGTGTAGAACAGGAAGACTCATAACAAACATTGACTAATCTTCAAAATTTTATTTAAAATGCCAGGTCGTTAACAGTGCAATTACAAGGACCCATCAATGCAGCATAGAAAATGGGATCAGGTGCCTAGGGGGAGAAAACATCTTTCGACAGAGCCTTAAAATTAAAAATATTTGAAAACTCATGAGACTCTTTATAATTTTAGCTCTACCGGACAGAGAGCAGAAGGGCTTAAGCAATAGTAGAGTGTCCGTCGACAGTCCGTCTGTCTGTTTGTCTGTAAACAATTTTTCAAAATGCTACTCCTCCTACAATAATTAAGTGCATCGGTTTTTGATTTCGATGAACGAAACTATGGAGATAACGAACATGTTATGTTAACTTTATACATGTAAACTGCCTGTCATAACAGAAAGATCTAACCAGGGGAAACTTCCTTTTTCCGTTGTGTTCTTTTCACAAATATTTTACTTAGTTTCCTTTTTCCTTATTTATAATTACTTTCTTCCTTTTCACGTTTTTTACACTTAACCACATGCCTTTAGATCTTTTTTAATCAAACTAACAAATGTTGGCATGTATAAAAATTCACCCATGTTTTTGTTGAGCCAGACTGAAGAGATCAAAGGTCTGTGCACATAACTACATTATGTAATTAATAAACGTTCTACCAATAAGTCAATCTTTCATTCTTATATAGACAATACGTTGTAAGAACACTTGTAAAAAGACTTCTTTGATTCCGAAAAATAGTATATTGGTCCACAATATTAAGGACATGCATATGGACTTTATGAATACATAGTATTACATAATTTCAATTTCCTGGTAGTTGTACATTTATCTTATCCAAACTGCATGTAGCTTCTCAAATTACAGTTTTATTATTAACATGACGCAAGTTCTTTTGCTATGAAATCCCTCCAGTATATAAGGATAAGATATATGTATGAGAAAATTCCCTTAATTGAATTTTTAATTTAATTAAAAAAAAATAAAATTCATCATCGATTTTATAAAATTGATTGACCCTTGATGCATGAGTCCAGGAATCAACTATAGTCTGTAATTCCAGAACGTCAGGAGTTAATTTGTGTATAATTTATAATTTTTATTGTGTGTTTAATGTCATGATTTCCCCCTTTTTACATACCTTTTTTAGGCTTTGAATGTATTTTTACTTTCGAATACCCGTAAAATATTTCACATTTTCATTTTCTTGCGAATTTAAATGCCACTAAACTGAAAACATTAAATGTTAGTATAGCGTTTCGCTAAACCTTGTTGTGTTTACCAAAAGTAATTATTATTATTTAAAATTTAATTTTTCACTTTTGAATGGAAAGAACTAGAGATTTTATTGGTGGAGACAAGAATCAATTAGGCATGAGATTGCTAATTAGCTGCCGTTGGCTTGTATACATATACAGCTGCCAACATGCGGTCGTTTGTCAGTTAATAAGTGTTATGATTGATATCGAATCATAGCCGTCAGGTTTTGTGG